ATGAAAATGGCTAACATACGCACGAGAGTCAGCCAAAAAATTAAATCCTATTTTGAAATGTCCGATCTTATATAATGTACTGCTGCTTCAGTGAGTGGACTTCCACTCCTGACACATATGTAGGCCTAATACAGAGTTCCCCAACTTCAGTTAAAATTCTTAAGACCGATGCAGCTACTGAGCTGAGCTAATATCTGAAGCTTTCGGAGGGGCGAATAAAGGTAATAAAATCAAGAGCAACCCCGATTATGAAGACAGAGATCTCTGCAACGTTTTCAGCTCAACAATGACACTCCTGATCGCCCGAGACTTTCAGTACACGTCCGCAAGCGAATTATACCGACCGAGCGACCGCCGCTTGTCGGCCAAGTCAATGCAAACTTTAGCGGATAGAGGGTGTCGCGTAGTCAGCGTAACGAATCCCTACGGCCGTTAATCTCTGTTTTCTAGGCCGAAACAGCTATTTTCTTGAAATAGCTCCTCAGTTATCCTCACAAGGCTGAGTAGACCCCGTTCCAGACCCACTACTTCTCATAAAATCTGGTAGCGCCGGGAATCGAACCCAGGACCTCTGTATCTGTAGCCAGGAACTCTGGCCACTAGACCACAGTATTCATTTGTGGCTCCTACTGCTATCAGTAGCTGAAGATTGTGGAGCGGAGAATGGCAGAATAGCCAGTGAGTAATGAAGTTGAAAAGCTGTGGGAGGAAATGATCGGGGCTTCATTTGAGATATCTCAGAATTTTCTGCCTCCGGGTCGAGATATGTGCCCCAGAAGTCACAAAACAAAACAAACTCCGTGGTTTTAGTCCGCAAGCGAACTATACCGACCGAGCGAAGTTAGTGCCAACTTCAGCGGATAGAGAATGTCGCGTGGTCAGCGCAACGAATCCCCAAGGCCGTTAATTTCGGTTTTCTAGACCGGAGCCGCTAACATCACACATATGAAAACTTTTTACCCTCTCGATGGCGACTTTCGATCATCAGGCATCTTGCAAAGAAAACTTCGCCTATGTATGAGTACATACACGTAGACTTTCAAGTGTTCCCGCCACACACTCACGGGCATCAATAAACGGGCTATACTCAAGGTCTATATCCCTTCTGAACAAAGTGTTTTCATTCACGAAGAAGAAAGGCACATTCTAGCTTGGTGCCAACTTATGTATTGTTTCGAGAATAGCAGTCTAATTGCAACATCACGTTCACAGTGAAAGTGAAAACAACCTAGTTTTGTTTTGTAAACTGTCACAGCCAGTACATTAACAGACATCCACCTTTCTGGACCGGCCACACCCTTAGGGATGAAAGGGTAAACTTGCGACACCTTCAAGGATATCTTTCTTGCATCCAACAATAACGATCCGCAAACATTCGTAGACGTGGTCACTAAGAAACTCCATCCATCAACATTGGTATTTTAAAGAGCACAACAGACGGTCAAGCGGCAAAAATATTCCCCTTTTCTCTAGAACTCAAGAGCTTCATTATCGTGCGCACAAAATTCCTCCACTGGACCCTACCCTGATTCCACCAAATTAAGTCCACACCTTCACACTCAAAGGGTTAAATTCAATTTAGCTCCGTCTCCTGACTTCGCCAAAATCCCCAAGTGATGGTTCCCCTTCAGTTCTTCGATTAAATGCTACACGCCCAGCTCTTCATCCTAGATATTATCAACCTAATATTATCTTAACAGTGAAAGTTATGACGCTCCTTATGATATTTTCTCCATCTTAGTAATTCTTCTAAGGTCCAAATATTCTTCTCTGCACGCAGCTCCAAACATCCATCTATTCTTCCATCAAGATGAAAGACATCCCACATGAAAGAAGTAAACTAGGGAGTTCCGTACAACATTATAACCATTCTTCATTGAGTTACTCTCTCAACCAAACAGTCAGGAGCCAATTACAGAGCCAGCTCGAATACAAATTAACAACACAAATGAACATGCGAACAAAAACAAACAAGAAAAAAGTTAAATCAATTAATGATATCTGAATGTAAACATAAGCTGTTACCAGTAACAGTAACAATTCAATTAATTTTTACAGTGCTTGCCACCGACGTTGGTCTACTGCAGGAAAAAAACATTAAATACATAATAAATACGATAAAATACAGGTTATACGTATATAATTTATTACTGAATCTTCATCAGAATCCCAGTAGGGGTGTCGCATTACTTATATGAGGGAGAGTCAGTAAAAAGGTCACAAATGGATATAAAACATATGATATTCGACCTGGAAATAACATTTACGAGTATTTCTCGATATATCCTCGTTAAACATTGATACACATGCCCCATTGCTTTACCAGTGCGTCGAAACCCGCAGCACAGAAGTCTTTCGATTGTTGTCTCCTCATCCACTTCCGCACCTCTGTTTAACCTTGTCATCAGAGAAGTATGCCACCAAGGTGGTTTTCTAGCAGACCAGACACGATAAACACTGCCCACCGTAAAGAGGAAACATTTCTTTATCAATATCATTTCTGCATCGAGTCCTATTACCCAAAAAACGCACAACAGAACACTGCTCTTCGGAAATACACTCCTCAAGCACGGTTGCCATTTTGACTACTGAAACCAGCATCCGCGTCTCCTACCTAGACTGTCGTGACGCTGGAATGTTCTGCTACCTAGCGACTCACACAGAAAACCTATTACGACCATAACAGCTGTTTTACTTCCATTTGTGACCCACTTGCTCTCCCTTGTATTATGGTTGGTTTTCCTCAGTCTCAAGTGGATGAAGGGTGTCTAGAAATCAGCCACAACCGCTTCCTTCCAGCACATTACCGGGTCATCAATGACAATCCCTTCCTATCGCCAGAACACCTACAGTAAAAACGGCGTCGTTAAGCAGCCGTAAAACTGAATCAGTCGTCATCTGTTCTGTCTTTGCGAGTTCATACATAACAGGTCCTGTCTGTCAGACTTCCATGCTTCTGCTTCAGAGTCACCAAAATAATTTCGTATTGAGGATCTATATTAATGTGTTGCTGGGAGAATTTAATTTTTGCTATTATCTGTCCAATACAGCCCTTGCTCTCCATGCAGCAAAAATAAAACCTTAAAAAAAACTCAGTTGCTTTAGTCCGCAGGCGAACTATACCGACCGAGCGACTGCCGCTTCTCGGCGAAGTCAGTGCCAACTTTAGCGGATAGAGGGTGTCGCGTGGTTAGCGCAACGAATCCCCATGTCCTCAATTATACTCACGAGGCTCAGCGGACCCCGTTCCAGAACCACTACTTCTCATAAAATCTGGTAGCGCCGGGAACCGAACCCGGGGGCTCTAGATCTGGAGCCAAGAACTCTGACCACTAGACCACAGAGGTTGTCCAAACAAAACCTTCAAGTACTCTAAAACAGCTCATTGTATAGGAAGCTGGCTCAATGCACAGAATACAAATAATACTGACATCTACCCGTTCTACTCAAAGCAGCTTCCATATGGATAACGATCAGTGAATCTGACGGAACAATAAAGCCTACAAACATTCAGTGTGATATCCGCAACAACAGACTGGTATCTATAGTGTTCATAACGAAAGCGCAGACAATATACAGCGTCTGTGTCTTCACAAACACGGCAGAGGTGTTGATCCATATTTGTGCTTCAACCTTAAACTCATTCTCCATCAGCATTAATATGGTGCTGCCAACGCCGCGTATTGTTTCTAACGGAACTGCAGCGCAGGCTCCTTCAATTTCGTCCCTGTGTTCTTTAAAGCACCCCACAAACAAAATTTATTTCTGCAACATCTCTGCACGTCCTTCGCATTTTCCGTTTTGCAGCAGTACTTAAACACTCCATTTAATATGCCAAAACGTTAAAAGATGTTCTGCCATTTTGTTTTATACTGGTTAGTACCTCCTATCAGGTTGTACCAGCAGCAAGCTGCGCACTAGTGCCATCTAGTATCATTATTATTCACTCAGAGTTCCTGGCTACAGATCCAGAGGTCCGGGTTCATTCCCGGCGCTACCAGATTTTCTGAGTAGTGGGTCTGGAACGGGGTCCACTCAGCCTCGTGAGGATAACTGAGGAGCTGTTTCAAGGAAACAGCGGCTCCGGTCTAGAAAACCGAAATTAACAGTCGTGGGTATTCGTTGCGCTGACCACGCGACACCCTCTATCCTCTGAAGTTGGCACTAACTTCGCCAACAATCGGTGGTCGCTCGGTCGGTATAGTTCGCTTGCGGACTGTTTTTTTTTCTGTGTACGTATTAGGGACACTGTATAGCAACAGCCATTATGCTAAGACACATCGAGGTATGGAAAATTCGCAAAGACATACCCTAGACCCTTATCGATACGGAATTCCGTATCGATATCGGAGATACTAATTTCGATATCGAATCATCAGTTTAACGTTTCTTTAAAAGTATTAAAGTTAAAAATGTAAAGTTTTCCTTGTGCATAACTAATGAAGCACTATGCCATGAAGACGTATGGGGGGGGGGTGTACAGAACTGCGTATTCTTAACCTCAGCACCAGTCTGCGGTATGTAGTCAGCTTTCGCGATCCGCCCGCTTTGCCTCCAGGGAAAGATATCATTGAACAGGAGGCTGGGTGGGCCCCAGAACTGGCCTGGACAACGTGGAGAGAAGAGAAATCTTGCTCTGCCGGAACTCGAACTCCAGCCCGTAGCCAGTCGCTATACCAACTGTGCTATCCCGGCTCCCAAGTGCCTAACTTGATTCATTCTGAAATACTTTGTTGCTTTTATACATATTACAATACTCTCAAGGTTATTTCTATGCACTTGCTAAGTACACCTGTCGACTGTTGCTCATTTCTCTAAGAAAGGGTTAACGAACTAACCAACACTATTCGCCTTCTCAAGTGATTTATTTCGTAAAATCTGACAGCGTCATCTAATTATTTGCACAGGCTGACAATGAGTGTAGCCTACTTTACTGTCGCTATGAGGGGCCCTTAACATCCAACAAATGGCGTGCAAAACGCTGCAGATAGTGCACTCACCTGGCACCGACGAGGAGAGAATTCTGGTCCTTCTCCAGCAATTTGAAGTGGTCCTTGTGAGACTCGTTACCCAGAAATCTCTGCGCTTGCTCCTCTCCTGAAAACACAAGAACACACAATCTATCATGCTGCACAGGTTGCGTGACCACTGTCCGATAGGTTCACCTGCAGTTGGGTAGCAACTTTACAGACCCTGCCTGCCTTGGGAACTGTGGATGGCAAAATAACTACTTCACAAGGTTTTGTTCAACGACGTAACGTCAATTTATGATTCATTTGCAAACTCGTTCATATAAACTCAGCATTCAATCAGTTGGCTTGGTGAGGTGACATGATATATCAACCGACATGTTTAATAGTTTAATGTTACGCAGGGCACAAGTATTTCGCCTCAGTACACTTGCCCATGCTCTTAGCTTAATCAGATTATGGCGTGTAGGGCCAACCCCATTAAGCAACATACTTCTCGAGACACACATACAATTTTTACCGTCAACGCAACAATACTTTTATTTATTTATATATCATGCACTATATGTTTCGACCTAAAACGGGTCACCTTCAGGTGCTGAAAGTTTCTCACATACTATTACCGAACTGTAACGCTAACATTCCCACTTTTATAAATGGCTGATACAAGTTAGTTTCTACTCCATATCAGACAATCTAGACTAGACATTGGTTAAAATTGACAATAAAATACATAATAAGAATAAAAATCGTGAATGTGATAAACTCGTATACTTAACAATAGGTTAAACCTAATTTAACAATTAGGTGGTCCTAGATCCACAATTTTATACTTAAAAATGATTTAAAATGATCTTTCAAAGTGTTATAAGCTGCGAGTAGTTTCATGTTTGTTGCTGCAGAAGACCATGCAGTGGCTTCGTCAGATTTCTTCTACTGTTTGCTGCATTGGCTCGCCATGTTAGAGAATAGATCGCTCTACTTTCAGGTTCTTTTCGGAGAAATAGTGTGTCTGGGACGGGTTCCACTCAGCCTCGTGATGATAATTGAGGAGCTATTTCAAGGAAATGCGGCTCCGGTTTAGAAATCCGAAATTAACGGCCGTAGGGAATCGCTGCGCTGACCACGCGACACCTATCCTCAAAAGTTGGCACTAAAACTTCTCCGACAAGCGGCGGTCGCACGGTCGGTATGGTTCGCTTACGGACTTAAATCACGGTTTTATATATGTATACTTAGATAACTCACTGGCCTCGATCTATGGCTAGACTCTTAATGAGGTCTGCCTATCAAAATTGTATTTTAATTTCTCACTCTTCCCATGCATACCACTGCTGGCTCCAGAGGGTTAGTTAGTTAGTTATTGGAGAGGGTGCGTTTCCCCGTGCACTTAGACCAGTATTGGTCCATTGTGCTTCCCTCTATGATATTCTACCAGTCTCCATACCCTACCGATACTGGTGCTTACCATCAGTCCCGACCGAGCCAGCGAGTTCGGCCTCTCCTGGCTTGGCGGTATCTATAATGCTTCCCCCATCTATCAGAGGCGTTAGAGACTACTGTTGGGCGGGAAATGTCCTTGAATTTGGCTCAGTGACCTCCTTTGGAGATATGAGGTTCTTTTACGTGCCGTAAAGCTACGACACGGGACCCACGGCTTAAAGTCCCTCCCGGAGGACTTGTTCCCTGAATTTTTCCGCCCTTAAAAATTCGACGACCTCCGCCGGGTTTGAACCCGCGTACCACGAGTCATGAGGTGGGAACGTTACCTCTAGACTACGGAGGCCGCTGGCTCCAGAGGGTTAATAAGCAGCCATCAACGCCGACGCGCAGCTAACCACACTCACAACACTCTCATGCATGCTACATGTCTAAACTGTTTCAGTCTGCTTGATTCTTGGCAACGTCCAAGGAATAAACCTCACTTATTTGGAATACTCCATTACGAATACCACCTCGCATTCTGTATTCTGATGATCAGAGTTCGTAGTTAAGTAACTCGATGCAACCGTCGCTGAAAAGCTGATAGTCGCTCAGCTGCTCAAGAAATTTCGCGTTTCTTTATGGAGCCTGAAGGCTCATTACCGTGTTCACAAGAGCGCGCCAAAGGACCCTATCCTAAGGCAGATTAATACAGTTCAGGCTTCCGTTACGCCGGTTTCAACCTAAGTTATTCGTGCGTATGTACGACGTTTCAGAAACCAAAGTGCTAACTGTAAATAGCTACAAAAGAAATAATAAATCAGCACTGACGAGTTTATATCCTGTGTAAAGATACGAGTACATGCAGCTGAATTTTCAAGAAAGATATACGCACGTCATCGTGGTAGAACAGAGACGATATCCCGTGTTTAATACACGATGTGCAGGAAGGAAATCGTTTGGAAACATGAACAGAACAGCATTCTCCACTACGGGGCAATTCCCAGCTCCACAATGACAAATGACAGCATTTTGTGATACACCACACTAGCTCTCAGGTTCGTATAACCATGATACTGTGTGCTGTGTGTTATCTGCGGTAAGCTATGAATACGTACAAATCTACACATCAACTTCCGTTCCGTGCCATTATCATTAGGCTACAAGATTACTGTCTTCAGGGATTTGACGCCATGCAGTCTGGTATATCGTCACCAACATACACCTTCCAATGAGAGCAAAGAGCCCTGATGATGCACACACTAATTTTCCCCAGAATGTTGGTAACAATCGAGCCACTATACGGAATCACATCTCAGAAGGCAAACTTGCAGTGTTCAAGTTACACAGTATTCAATGACAGAACGATCAGTGGCCGCTCCCTATGGCCGCGCGGTCTAAGTGACGAAATGTCTTCCCCCACTCGAACTCTGGGATCGTGGGTTCGAACCCAGTCTAAGAACGGACGTACACATGCGTTTTTTCCGTGTTTGTGTTATCCTGTGCAGGAAGCGAACTTCTGATGGGCTGATCACACACCCAAGGAATCCGACCAACTATCTGCAAGATTCATAGTTTCATTCTGTAACGAATAAGAGGTTTGCGTGACAAATAGTAATGGGTTCTGGATCTGAGGATTGGGGTATTGTCACTTCTTTACAATTACAGTTAATCATAACAGCGCACACACTGAACTCCCCATGAACGTCTGTCTGAAGAATCTAAAAAGTGAAAGTCACATTGCGACTGACGGACGGCCGGTCAGTCAGTCAGTAAGTCTTGGTGTCGAGCGATATTTATTAGTTTGACAGTTACGGTACTGTTTTTGTGGGGCGCCCTCTCTGACAAGACGACGGGTCTGCCTTTTTTAAATGCCGTTGGCACTTGCCAGTGCAGTGTTTCTTGGGTCAGAGTCCCTTGGGTCTCGCGACCATATTTTACTGTCTCAGACTGGGACTTCCCTTTTCGTCGCCTCCTACGACTCGCAGGGTCACGGTGGAGGCATTTGACCCCGCTACTGAAATAATGAAGCACTACACCATGGAGACGTAAACGGGAGTGGATGTATACGCCCACGTTTTCTTAATCTCGGCACTAGTTGCACCTTCACGTCCCGGCCGCTTTACCGCCGGTATACATTGGATAGCAGGCTGGGTGGGCCCCACCGCCGGTGTGGACGAGATGGAGATGTGAACGTTCTTCACCCTGCCGATGGTTATTAGAATACGTAATAAAATATTCCAAATGCTTACGGACGTTTTTACTAGACGTCAACTCGATTTCAACATCACTTACTGAAATCTGAGTGGCATGGTGCATTGTTCTCATAGCATGAGACCGGCTGCGTGTAGGGTGAGGCACCTTTACCTGCAAACTGGACTGCAACGTTGCGAAATCTTCCGTTTGAACACGATCGCCGTGCACTGCAAAAACAGGACCTCTGTATCGTGTTCTCGCGGTGCGGCAAAACGGCGGTGAACAGACGCTCCAACTTCTGCCTCTGGCTTCATATACTTATTTTAAGCAAACTAATTGAAAACAGCAAAAGACAGCCGATCGTACGATTATCGAATACTGACTCACGCTGACTAGTTTCGTCGCGCCACACTATTACTATCCGTCTACAACTTTTTTAGGTTGCGTGATATCTCGAGTAGGGAGCCGGAACAGCGTCTGGCTAGGGGCTGGACGACTGAGGGGCCGGAATTCGAGTCCCAGTAGGTGTAAGAGTTTTCTCCTCTTCATGTCGTCGAGACCGGTTCTGAGGCCCACACACCCTCTTATCCAATGTATACCGAAGGTTCCTTCCCGGGGGAAAGTGGTCGAAGCGCGAAGCTATTCACCTCCAACTAGTGTGAGGGCAAGAAAACGTGGATCTATACATCCACTCCCCCATACGTCTTCACGGCGTAGTGCTTAATTGGATTACGGCGCTGAAAAACTGTTACTTTTATCTCGCTATAGAGATTGAAACATCCAAGTAGGAGTCGCTGCTACCATATCTTTGGCTTGCTTTCCCTGCCTTGCACAAGGAAAACACGTGAATTACTGAAATAAAAGCTCGTTCGGTGAGTACTGCAATGATACAGAGTTCTAGTACGGGGCAAAGAAGCGGTGTTTGTACCGTATCACTTCTATTCGACGTGTACAGTGAGCAATATATGTTCTCTTTCCACATTGATTTCAGTGTAGCAGAATGTACTACCACGCTCAAACTGCAAGCTACGGCCCCAGAGAGCCAAGTTGCTCGTTTGGTACAGAGAAGAAAGGCAGAGAAGTGAAAGAAGAAAGTCTAAATGTATTTTTTATTCACGCCATCTGAAGCAGCTTCGATTCTAGATATCGACAAGGATCGATACCAGCACAACAAAACCCCTGAAAGGCTGTGGAAGGTAGCAGATAACAGAAATGTTAAGGTGTTGGAGAGAAGATCCCCGCAAAACACGCCGACAACAGCCAAATGACGTCACATTAGTAATGGGTTCCTGGATGCTGTAGCTGTAGTTCATTCAATTTAAACTTGGTGGCTGCACGCGAAGGTAACCAGCTGATACCATGCACATCGAACATAAACGACCTTCCAACGGAAAATGAGCAACTCACCACGTGATTTGGAAATACCGAAGACTGAGTGCAGGCCGCAGGCTGCACGCCCTTTATGGTCAACCCGAAACGTCCATACACAGAAAATCAAAACGAAGGGAT